TCTATGCCTCCTAAGTGCTGGGATTAATGGTGTGTGCCCCCACACCCAGCTAGGAGGCATTTTCTTGATTGAGGTTCCTCTTCTCAGATTGTGGGGGACCCAAAACAGCTTGACCATATAGCTGCCATGATAGGCTCTTAGAAGCTCAGACAGAGCTTCTGGCAAGCAATCTAGACCCAAGAAAAGCCATAAGCTGACCCCACCCAGGGAGGCCTGCATCTAAGGGGAAATGCCTGACATTCCAAACATTCCTTAGACCCCAGAAATCCCTTCACCCCAACCTCTGCTAAGATAAAAACCCCACCCTGCCTGGGCTTGGGGCTTCTCTGCTATCACTGCTGCGTCGGACAGAGAGTCCAAGCTCTGAGCTTGAAAATAAAGGCTCTTTGCTTTTATATATAGGATTCAGTCTCTGTGGTGGTCTTTTGGGGGTCCCCATGATCTGGGCATAACAAGATAACTCTAGCTTGTGTCAAGTAGACAAATAACAACAATAAACCGACAAGCAGAATACCCAGTGTTTTCTTGATCAGGTTGACTGAGTTCAGAACACTCATCCTGAATGCAGGTGGCATATCCTGTGGGCTAGGGTCTTAGACTGAATAAAAAGGTCAACGGGAGGTGAGCACCAGCTTCCATCTCTCTCTCTGCTTCCTAACTGCCGATGCCATGTAACCAGCTGCCTCACACTCTTCCTGCCATGCCTTCCTCACCATGATGGCATGATCTATTGGTGAAATTATTGAGGCAACTCCACGTAGTTAAAAGGGAGGTTTATTTTGTGGGGTAACTCACAAATGAAGGGATAGATAACAGGGTCTGGGAAAGGTGTAGTGCAGTCTGACGGTGTTCTCTGGAGAACTCTGCTCGGTCTACCTCCAGCGTCCAGGGTCCAGGCACCAAGAGAGGTGGCCCATCCAGATCTCAGGTCTTCAGGGACCTCTCTTGGCCCCATCTTGTAGGTGTGACAATTACCGAAGCCTCAATGGAGGTTGGAACCTTCCAGATCAAAGCTGGAATGGCTACCCCCTTTTGTCTAAATAAGAAGGTTCTAACCTAATACAAGACTATATACAAAGAAATGGTTATCAAATATTGTCCAGAAGTAATGAGGGATAATGACCTAGATAAGATGGAACTACAACCAATTCGAACAATATCAAGCAAGAAACAAATACTAAAATCCAGAGAAGTCTAGAACATAGGTAAATGCATGTTACAAAGATCATTCCAAAAGGTGTCCTATCCTAAAGAACCTGAATCTAATACTTAATATGTTCTATTTAAGATATTTTATATATATACTAAGTTGTAACTATAACTGCTAGTCTTTAATCCCATCAAAGACCTCAGAAGGAATGTAATGGTACCTGAGAAATGGAAGATGGATGCAAGCAACTTTCAGGAATCTTGTAAGAGTAGACAGAGACAGCTGGCAGCCTGGACAGTCACCTAATGTTTCTCAGCATTGTTGGTGTATTCAAATTGGCTACAGGCCTAGGGTATCTGACAGACCATTTTTAGAAGCAGGAATTCTGAAAGACCATCTTACCCTGTCTTGGCAGAATTCAGAAGTTACTTTTTCTTGTGTCCTGCTTGTCCAGAAGGATAGCATTTATACTGTTAGCAGTTGAGGCAAGGGCAGTTCTTTGTCCAATAGGCCATTTTGTGCCAAGAAGACAAACTTCCAACTGGAAATGTCTTAGAAGCCCAACATTCTCTTGGGATCAAATTGGTGCTACCAGGAACAATTGTGTCTCACGTCAACAGAATTCTAAGTTATTTAAATGTCATATTCTCTAGGTCCATGAAGTGTTTGAAGACTACCTGTCCATCGGACCTATGTTATCTGTGAATCTGGATAACCTAACTAACGTAACTATAGAGATGACAAGCATAGGTGACTATAAATCTATAAGTCTTATCTACCTAAATAACCTAAGGACTAAGGCTTCCCATAAACAAGATAAACAGTCTATAAGCAAATGTATGGTAAAGGACGATATCTTCAAAATTGTGACAATACACAGGATATTTATAAAAGAGGTAGGAATGTATAGTGCAATATGCAATATGACAATAGTCTTAAATATATATCAATATACAGAATATCCTAAACAGAAGTAGAACATACATACAGTATGACAGATATAAATTTACATTGTATCAATATACAAATATTTCAAATAAGAGTAGAAATACATGTACATTATAACAATATAGTTCTGTAGTTGTATCAATATACAACTTATCTTAAACAGGAATATAAAAATAGTTTACATTTTTATCAACATATAAGAATCCATAACAGTGCAAATTACAGTGCAAATTATCTAAGGCTGTTATTTTACTAAATTTGTTTACTAGTATATATAATAATCTACCATGATATCTCCCTAAGTTGCTTTTGCCAGGGTATTTTATCACAGCAACAGGAAAAGTAACTAACTCAAGAAGGCAGAATTACCCTAGAGACTCACTTTCTGGGGACATGTGTTGAGGTTATAGACACACAGGAAGACAAATAAGAAAAATGAATTTAAAAAAATAAATAAGTATAATTTTGCTCTTTAGTTGAACAAAACTACCCTTTGTGGACAAGCTCTTCACTGGCAGGATTGTGCTAATTTTATTGCAATTTGTTTGCAGTGTTATGTTCTGGGTTAAGAGCACTCTGAAAATGATTCTTTTTAGAGTGCAGTAGAGGAGCCGCTGGGCTGACAGGCTGATTGCCAGGCTGGCAAGTGATGTATTCAGTGACGTCAGTTCTTTCATACTCCTGCAGCAGAGCTGATGTTCAGGTGCTCAGTCAATAGGCTGGCTCAGAAGCTCTCCATGGAAGTGTCTTGGGATACCGAGACTATACACTTGCTTTTCTTTTGAGCTCCCGCTAAGGTTCCTAAAAGCTCACGTGGACAAGCTGATAAGAGGCCTGGTTTTGAAAGCCTTTCTGACAGCACAAGGGGTCCCTGGTCAGCAGATGATGGGGGGACCCTTCAAGTTTCCCCAACTCCCTCCCTGCATCTCGCTGGTGGCCAGATTTGAGGACAGTCAGGACAAACACAAAGTGAGTTCAGTATCTGTGCCTTTGTTCTCTTAGATCAAGGACCCTACAACTAACCAGGAGTACCAGGCTTGTCTTCCAGTGTTTTATGCCAATTCCTGTCTCTCATGGGGCACAGACCTCCAGTGTCTAAATGATGAGCACTGAGAACAGAATAGGTGATGCCCCAGAACTGCAGCTTTGTAGGGGTGAGGCTGTCCAGGCACATGCTGTGGACCAGCTACAGAGCTACTCTTGACCTGGCCTCTCCTGGACTTCTGCCTGAGGCAGCATTTAACAGGTGAATCTGTCTTGCTCAGAGTTGCCTCCTTGATGAAATGATTTGCTATCCCCACTCCAGTATATGGAGCTATGGTTTTTGGTGCTCAGGCTGAGCCTCTCTGCTGGAAGCCACTCTGGCAAGCTGGAAATAAGAACCCTTGCCTGAACTGAATGGTGTTGTAAAATAAATAAATAAAAAAATAAAAAAAAAAAAGAACCCTTGCCTGTTCACTGGGGAGAAAGAAACATTCAGCTAAATTTTCAGCACAAATTACTATGCTTGCATTGAACCATGGGCAAGCAGCACTGACCAGCCTGCATCCTCACAACAGAGTCAGATGTAGGCAGCTGGTATGCCTTGGAAGGGGTGGTAATGCTGTGGTGCAGC